GGTGTAATTACAAAATACATCCAACTACCATTTCATGTCATTTCATTTTTTTCCATAACACACTGCGATAGCAAAACCATCGATTCATACTATACGGTTGATAAAATAGTTCAATTGTGCCATTTATGATAAGCAAACATGAGAGAAATGTGAGTCGAAGTAAGTCACCAAACACGAATTAACCGTCCAATACGTATTTTGTTTAAATGTAAGAGACATATAGATGCTACACTACGACGATCATGATCCTAACTAGTACCAGCGACCGAAAAATCTGTCTGCTTGATGCGTTTACACTTACTGGTTAATCGGACCACGTCGTAAAAGATGAAACTACCGAAACTATATAAATGTCACTAATGAGAAATTGCGGGCTATCAAAGACCGGAGTATGTAAATCTGTCAGTAAATCCTCGACTGTTAGTGGGTTGATACACCGAGAAAACGATCATTTCACGGCGCTAAATATCTAATTCCAATGTGTAAAGTTGCAGTGGGCAAGCGCATTAATATGCGGTAATTGCACCCCATATCGCGTACATCGGGTCAAATGAGTGATACCTGTTAAATATGGGGATTCCATGTATTATATCAAAATACGTCACGGTTTTGTGGAGTATGCGATTAACACAGTCAAGCTGTCAATATGTTTATAATTTGAGAAGGTTAAACCATTTGTCTGTGGGTACACATGCTGTAATGAAACTGCGTCAGTGTCACCTTTTCTAGAAATACGTCGCCTGTGTAGTTAATATAGGTTCTGCTTATAATTATTTTCCAGATGCATACGGACCTGTTATGTATTGCAGTCGTCGTTGATTATCTTCATTCGCCACCATGCCGCGTTCGGATTTCCCATGAAACATTGCGGTACTGATTCATGCACGAACTGTTCTCACAGAGGCATTTATATAACAGCGTGGTTAAACTGAGTGGGGCACTGACAGCTTTACTGTGGCACGTGCAGAACTTCCACAGCAATTGACCGAATGCACACGGCGGGAATGTTGGTATCAGGGTGACGTTCTACTATTATATAGCACAGTTCAGACATTCAACCTCGTTGGTAGTACTGTTTGAATGCACATATAGTGGTACGCATTTTATTTACTATGGAAACCGATAAATTAACAATGGGTAATCGGAAAGACAAGGCAGAGACTCTGAGACTCCGTTTAGAAAAAACAAATTGACAGGTATGTAAGGATTAATATCGCACTTTCGGTTCTTAGAAAAGTAGTACAGTGTGACGGATGAATGCTGTCGTATCAAATAGTATTTTAGACAAGATCACGCAGTTCTACGGAATCCCGGTGATTGTGTTGTAATCCGCGCCTCTCACTGGAACGTCATTCATGTTGTGAAATAGCGATCAAGTAGATGGTACCATGACCTGATGCGGCTCCGTTTGGCTTACATGGAAGCATATATCTTAATTGTAGCGTAAATCTTATGATCGGAAAGTTTGAGCTTTTTCTCTCTCCTTCGAAGTAATTAGGTTATAGTACATTTTTAATGGCTAAAACTATTCAATTACATTCTCGAAAAAGAAAAATTGAACACGTTCAAGAAAGTCAAAAATATCCGAATCGCCACCGGAGTAAACCTTCAGGGAAGCGCAATAATTTTATCCCCAAGCATTAATCAGCGGAGTGGTTTTAACGAAAGCAGAAATCGTGAGATTTGATTTCAATTGGCTTTTTTTAGTGTGCGCCTAGTTCCCTTGTCGTTTATATTTTATCGGTATTATAATTACGATTACAGTCACACATTAGAGTACCACGTGATATATGCAACACCAACATCATTTAGTCTTGCTCACGGTCGCTTTGTGCACCTACATTATATTCGCTAGTGTTGTCGTTTTAAACGCCACATATTTGTATATGGTTGTTTGGGTTTGTTTTATATGTTATTATTACTACGATTATTTATTTACGATGAAGGTGGAAATATTGTTTGTTTACACGAAAAATTGGGACCCACGCTGGGCATAATACTCTAATACAGTAAATAATTGATGATTACAAAAATAAATTATCCGCTGCCACATATATGATTGTGAAAACATATAATTTCGGTGAAGCCTTTAACTTGCCGGGCTCAATCTGAAATATGCTTCTGTTTATGGGATTTACGTACTGTGACGTTATATAATGCGGCAAGAATACTTATTGTCGATGTTCGCTTGTGTATTATCAAATATTTAATCCGGAAAAGCTTTGGAAATAAAAAAAAATCATAATGGATGAACAAAATAAATGAGTCAAGTCTGTGCTCATTTCGGATGATGAAGTGTAGCTGGGGAAATCTATCGTTGTAAAAATATTAACTTAAGTATGCAGGTGTCTGCATTCTGTAACTATAATTGAAGGGAATTTTAAACAATTATGCTGATCTCACACCTCTGTAAAGTTGAATTACCCTTTAACATTTTATGACCACTTTTGCGAGCTTACTGTACTGACATTGAGCGATGTATCATGGTCTGTGTTTGTGTTCAAATGGCCTATTACAGTTTCAGTATCACCACTTACAGTTTAAAATACGCAGTTCATAGAAGAACCGAAATTTAAAAAGAAAAACACACCACTTATTCATATGCACTAGTTCAAATTCATAAACAAATCCTGAAAATGTCCAAAAGGAAACCCTCTACCTTTTGTGAAAAACATTTTTATATATCTCTAGGTGCTCTGCATGGTCATTGGTAAGTTTCCACTAGTGACCCCTCCCCGCCCCCAGTCCCAAACATCGTTAAGAGCGCTGTTTTCATTTGTGTTCGTCAATACACTGGTATTCAGTGTTTAGAGGTTTGTAATATACTAAATGAAGAAAGTCCACACAATCAAACATATTCGATGTGCTGAATAAATTGCCTAAACCTCTTTCCCTCGTTGTGGTGTCAAAGAAGTGCCACTAGAGGGCATGATAGATGAGGACGGTAAATTGAGGCTGTGGTATTCACACTCATATCACCAATTCCAATCTTTGTACATTTCACGGCACAATAATATAATACAACAGCAAAATTGAAACTCCTGTCATCAAATTGGTTGAATTGACAGCAATTCACCGGGCCGTCCACTGAGACTGAAATCACAATGATTATGTAACGCGCTGTTCGAATATGTGGGTCAGTTTATCGTGACCTTTGACCGCCGACAGATCTTTGCCCTCAAAGTCGAGTTTCAAGCTTTACATGACATATGTGTTTATAGTTCCAATTATTCAAAATGTTTACGTGTATAACAAGGTATAGATCTATTTCATTTGATCTATGTTGTGTTCGTGAGGGGTTACTAGAACAATTTACTTGACACCACATGACGAGGATGTTCAGTTCCGATTAAAAAAAAACTGTTGATTTTGCTCTCCCGGCGCTCCGATACATTCAGGACTCCTTAATTTGATTTCAGTAATCTGCAAATTGTGAAAAAATAGTATCTGGTCCGAAATTTGCTGAATGTGTACTACGAAGGTGATTCTATTTTGCTATCTATTTCCCAATAAGTATGCCAATTAAACCATCGCTATACATGTATGTTTCTTTGGACAGTGGGTGTTTATAAACGTAATGCATATGTACCAATGCCTAAGACTTGTATTCTATACAGAGTTAGAAGGCATTTTGAGAACGTAACCCGCCGCAATTACTTTTTCCAACTATCGTATAAATGTGATTTCTTATGACAAAATATATCTCGCAATGAATAGTCATTAAAAACATGGCTTGACCTAGACATCAATCAATCTCTAACCGTTTGGTACTTTTTTCACGGGCAATCCTTCCTAAAAATACCATTATAATTAGTTATAATTTTTGAGATATAAATGAAGACTTATTGCCAAAATTACTGTTTCCATGAAAAGTAGATCCAGATCTTTTCCAAAATATAATGGATTGGTCTCTGTGCCAAGGGCAACCTCTTCTGAAATTTCGCTAACGTGTTGAGTTATAAAAAAAAAGTCATTACTAAAATTGTTTCTGTTTCCAGCGGCTTATAATCTCTAAAATTCAACGGATTGTTGATGGGCAACCCATACTGAACATTTCATTTTTTGATTTATAATCTTTGGCGGAAGTAACGGCGATAATTACTACTGTGAGGATAAACTGTTCCTCAAGATGTCAGTCACTATAATAAAAGACTAAGTCAGGATTTTCGCTCGTTCGTCATTTCAATGGATAGCTTCGCTTGCCAGTTTTGATGCAATCGCCTAGTCGTGGTCTCGATATTTTAACACCCTCAAGGGGAATAACCACCAAATAAGGCGAAAACATATGAATATAGTTTTAGAACCACTTGGTGAATTCGCTCAGACATCTCCTATAATAAAACTTCAACTTCCTCTTCATTTTTTTTAAAGAGAACCATTTCTTCGCCCTCCCGACTGAGCTAATCAGGTGATTGGTGAAGGAACTTGAATGTAATGAGTGATCCGTGATAAATAAATGCGTGTATTATATGTGTTATGTGTCATGTATGTACATCCGGGCATTTTGAATTACAGACAAAAATACACCCTGGGTTGTAGAATCTTTTTTCTAAAATCGTGATTATCGTGAATACTGCAATTCCAGATGGATGTTGGTGTATACGTTATGCGATGATCACTTACCGGTTTCATTAAATATTCAATCACCGTACTGTACCTAAAGTCACCCGAGGTGCCTTGCCAAATGGGGTGTGATAATTTCAGCTCTTGTTTCTGCGATGCTCACGGTAGATAAAACTGATGTATTGACGGATGCACATGGAGCAAGACGTCACCTGTTCATCCTTTTCATAGATCTGAAATCACTGCTTGGCTGCGTGATATGAGTCATTGAATGTTACCATGTCTTTAATGCCATTCTGATTGCGTACTGTGATATAACTTACTTATTCATGTATTACTATAATTCCCAGGTCTTACTCAGTGGGAACACTATATTACACTCGTTTCCAATTTATTTCAGAATTGGAGGAACGGTTCACAAGAAAGCTTTGCTAACAATGGGCACTGACGCGACGAGCGGTAACGGAACTTTGACCATATTCACCTCAACTATAACAGAATATGTTCCCGCGAATGATTCTTACCTGGCTCATCCACATGTGGTAGACGCGAGCATGGCATCGTACGTTGCCAGTTTCACCGCGGTGCAGAATATTAGTACTTTGCAGCCGTCGGACAAAATATTAACATATTTACCTTACTCGCTCTCGGTGTCCATTTTTCTGGGAGTGTTGTTGTCTGTTATTGTTCTTATTACAATCATTGGAAACTTCATGGTTATTTTAGCGTTTATCACCGACGTTAAACTCCGTCGCTATATAGGGAATTTTTTCTTGTTAAACCTAGCTGTGTCTGATTTTATAATCGGACTAGTATCACTTCCGCTCAACACCGCATGGTTTCTGTCCGGCAACTGGCTGCTTGGAGAGGTGGTGTGTAAAATCTGGATCGTAATGGACTTCACCGCCTGCTATGCCTCCGTCTGTGCGATTGTTCTAATTAGTCTCGATCGTTATTGGCTTGTTTCCAAGAACGATTACTTCGTGTTTCAGACTAACAGAAAAGTGGCGTGTATGTGTGCCGCGTCGTGGGTGTTTTCGTTGTTACTATATCTGCCCGTAGAGATTGGCTGGACAGCTTTCACCGGAGAGAGGAACATTGACTACACTGAATCATGTGAAATAGAGAGTTGGGACAATTTATATTACCAGATTCTACTCATTGCGCTCGAATTTGTGCTTCCACTCGTAGCGCTTGCATATCTCAACTCGTCTATTTATGCGTACATTCGACGACGTGATAGACGGTGGCATGATAAAAACAATAGAATCAAGCTCGCAGTCGAAATGAGTAAACCAGATATCGATCAGCAGAAGGTGGAGAAAGGTAAAATAATCTCCATATCCAAAGCAAAGAGTCATGTTGAAATAAAAAGAGAGGACAGTGGGTCAGACGACGGGGAAGAAAGTGATACATTCGATAACAACGTTCCTGATACAAACACAGACAACATTACGTTGGATGATCCTGTGACGCGTAACTCCGAGTCGAAGACGCAAATCGCAAATGGCGGTAAAATGCGGACGTATTTCAAAAGTTTTTCTGCCAGGAGAAAAAGCGTTCAACCAAACTTGAAAAAACACCGAAAGCACAAGAAAGCTGCAAAGAGACTAGCAATTTTAGTGGGCACTTTCGTCATATGCTGGGCCCCTTATAAAATCGTGTCATTGGTCAAAATTTTCTGCGCCGACTGCTCCAATGAAAAGGTGTGGGAGTTTGTTAATTATTTACTCTGGTGTAATTCAACGATTAATCCTTTGCTATACGCTTTCTGTAATCGGAGAATAAGGTATAATTATATCAAATTCTTATGTTTCTTCCGGAAACCTTCTCGGTCGCCAAAAAATAGCTTTTGACTGTTGAGTGCAGAATTCCAATCAGTATGCTGGATGTAATTCAATGTTATGATTCAGTTTGTCTTGCTCAATTGTTGGTGTACTGCTGATCTGATGTGCTGACTGATTGTTAATATCAGTAAATATGAGTAAATTTAATTCGGGTAGATTTCTATCAGATTGCAATAATTGTAATATTTGCTGACGACGAATTTGTCGGCTTCTGCTTGATTACAGTGCATACAGTTCATGTGCACTTCTGTCAAAATTGCTTATTTAAGCCTGAGGTTGATACCGTTGATGATACATTTTCTGTTTGTTTGTTTTTTTTCGATTTTGCTTTCTATCCTGAAATGACATGTTGGATTTCTTGAATATATATTGCATTAATGTTCTATATGTACATACATTGCCGAGAATCTTATGTTATGATAATGTGTTTATTTATCGGGTAACATGATCGACATCAAGTTGTGTCAAGTTGAATATTTGTTTTGGGTCGAAAAGTTTGTTTTTGTTTCTCAAAGAAATATCCTGCTCCAAGTAATATAAGCTGTTTATTTTCTCTGTGTATCTATAGTTCATTGAAAGTCGAAGTTACTTAACAATTGAGTTATGTGAAACATATGTCACGAGTCTTATATTGATGTAATAGTGTTTAGTCTTGTCAGTTAATCAGTTGAAAATAATATGTTCTCTAAATACAGCAAAGCCTCAGATCGCTTTATCGCTTTCCTGTATCAGTTAAAGCGCGGTGGTTGTCTCGCAGCGCGTGTTCGAATTTCATGTAAATAAACAATGTATTTTATACGCGTTGTATACGTCGCTATGAGTCCCTTATCTAACGGGACGCGGCGCGACGACTACCGCCCTTTAAGCACGTACAAAGTGAAAACACACCAATGATGATCCTAGAATTTACTCATCTACACAGTGCACTCGTAATTGTAATTACGTACGCCTTTTCAGTCTCACAGTCGGCGGTTCAGTTGGTATAATTGACAGAAATCTCAGTCTGTGTGTTTACTTAATTCGGACATACTATGTAAGGGTCTCGCAGGTTATCGACAGTAATGAGATCCGTATTCCCCATGTACTTCTCACTCAATGCGATCACTGAATGAACATGCGTAAATTACAATAAACATGTCTGGGGTTTTACAAGCACAATGCACATCGTTAGCTGCAGTTGATGATCTAACCTTCCGGGTATGTCTGAGCAATTATACATCTTACTTTAGCGGCTGGGAAATGCATACTATACATGCGGACTAGATGCATGTACACGGACAGGATCCCGACGGACACCACAACTCATATGTCACGAAAAAGTCATTTATACATTATCCTGCCATAAGGGGCAGTTGACAATGAGCCGATACATTTTTTTGTTTGTTAAAACTGTTATGTATGAAAGGAAGTTGTCATACTCGCTTTGGGATGTTATACTTGGCTAAGCAGCGTCATATTCTTGAAAACCTTTAGGAATAGCATATTCAACGTCACCGGACAAACGCCATCAACGAGTATGTCTAGATTACCTCGCAAGGTGAATTCGTTGGTGGCAGTAGACACAACCCACGCAGCGCTGTTATTATTCAATTTCAAGGCTGGTAGTGTTGTGCTACGTCAAATATTCCATCTGTGTGACAAACCACTGACCACCAAAACCCAATATTGTGTATTCCCATCAAAGACGTGAACTAAAATAATTAACATTCTGGAACTATATGTATTTCTAAATCTGAGTTACACTTTGATGAATAAAGTGACAAATTTTGACCGATGCATTTTACTGTAAATAATCTCATTTGTATCGCATATTGAAAGGCTTGTCCGGTAATAAAAAGATATGTGCATGATTAACAGCTTATATCTCAATTAATTTCTGAGTGGTGATGTGTCTGCATTAAATACTTCACAATGCGCCCTCATCATTAGAACATATATTGATTACACCTGCGAGTTTGTCTTTGTGAATGAAAGTTGAAGTGTACTAGTATTACCCCGGTAACGCAATACACATAAATACAATAAAAGCAATCTAACAAAACAATAAAGAGGAGGAGGATGAAATAATTACTTTAGAGCATTTCTCCCTCGATACAATAATAAAATATGATGATGTGCAACATTATATATTACTGCCAAATAAGGGCGTTCAGTTTGTGCCCGAGCGCAGGGGCACTAGCGCCCATGTTCGGGCTGTAATATGATTTTTATCACATGCCTTTAATAACATAAAGAATACAGGGTTTATATTTTAATGTTTAAAGGTAATTATTATTGGTAAAAAGGTACATTTTTCATAAGCAATCGTTAATCGATAAGTTTGGCACTGCGGATGGATATGTTTACGCATCCGGCTGCAGCACACGAAATGGATATTATGCAGTGGTTGCGGTCGATAGGACAGGGGCAACTGGATGAAATTCTTGGACCAGCACCAGAAAATGAATTACCAGACGAAATGGACGGTTTTATAAAAGCACAGCAGAAGCAAAGTACCGTTAACACCACCGAACGTGATGTCCGTCCCTGTACCGAGTGGCTAACTCAGAATACCGGTGAATTGCGGCGCCTCGAAGACATACCACTGGTCAAGTTGAATGACCTTCTGGGCAAATTTTTCATCAGCATAAAGAAGAAGAAGCCAGCTTTCCTCGCCAACATGAAGTGTAGTTTGGAGTGCTATCTTCGCGATAAGAAGTACTCAACAAGTCTAAACGATCGAGTAGTTCCGGGAATTTCTTTGATCATTGGACCTCTTTGTTGTTATTGACGACGGTCCGTACGTGGCTCATTGGACCGCTACAATCTACGGATGTTCCTATTCTAAAGTGTGTGTTTGATTGGCGGGCGGATGAAGGCATGTAATAAAGACCTAATGTATTGTAGGCAAAAATCTATTCAAAATGTAACCGTGCTAGCGCCCTCGTTGTCGATGTTGTGACAAGTTTGTAGGATGCGGTTATTGACGGCAGCTGATAGGGTTTTCACAGCATGAATCCCTGCATCGGTTTTACGTACTAAATAAACTTGTACACTCAGTTATGCGACAGCATGCTTTCAGGTAGTGAAATCACTGGTCTACATTAGAAATGTTTCGAAATTTATTGGGACATAGTTACAACTTGTAATGAATACTACACTGCTTCGAAGCTCAGATTAATCCTACAGTTTTGGAAATGAATTGATGTTACTTTGGGAACAGGGTAAACTGCATATTGCAGAATCATTTTTATTTTTGCATAGTGTATGCATAAAAATGGATTGTCGTCACATGCCTTTTTCCTATCCTGCCATCTGAACAGGTTCGTCCCGCATCACATCCAGGATCCCAACATCATTGTACAAATATTATGTAGATGTATGTTTGTAGACACAGTACAATTATGGACATCGTATTTCCACGTGGAATGGCCCCTATGTTAGCTATGTCTGCCAAACGCCAAGTGACAGGAAATGACAACCAAGGATACCCCGCAATTATAGTCATAAATATGTATTTTCATTTGTATTCAAAGAAGAAATCCTTTTACCAAAATATCGAGATGATAAAAAAAAACTTTAAAATTTGCTTGTTATTACATAACTTTTGGGGGGGGGGAAATTCAGTCAATATATATACAGCACATCTGTACTTTCAACAGTAAACTACCATCATTGAATAAATACTAGTAGTCATCTGTATAGACTGGATACGTCTTTTCGGTTTTGGGTCGTATGACCGGAGCGGATTGATATTGTTGTGTTTGTCGCCGCGTCATCAACATGGCGTGCAGCGTTATAACATGTGGTCGTTACTATCACATCTCTTTCTAACAAGAACGCGTAATCACTCGAATGTAGTTAGATTTCGGCCCTAAATTCATTTCTGAATATGAAATTTCACAATGCAACACCATGACGCTGTATTGTCAACCGGGGGGGGGGGCAGTTGACACATAGCTGTATAGGGAGGTGCTCCTGTGTGCTCAAAATCTATACTCATATTTATACCAAAGTACCATTTTTGTCATCACTGTTTATTCCAAATAAAACAGTTACCGTATTTGCTCTATTAGAAGAACATCTCCAATAGAAGCACATGTAAGCCAACAGTTGCATTGTTTATTGTATTTTGACCATAGAAACATCTCTGTCACTTACATAAGAGCATATTATTAACAATGTTCAACAACAGTACCAAATCGGAAAAATATTACCGATATTTATACCTATCTTGACCAGGAATAAGACCGATACTTATACCTAAAATCCAAAAAACTACACCCATTTAAGGGGCACGTTCCCCCCCCCCCCTCACACACACCCGATTGTCAAGATCAAAACAAATTCGCTATGAATTTTAGCTGCCGTAAACGCAATGCGCCGGTAACTGGCTGGAGGTCTATAAAAGGAATGTGTTTGTCTAATTATGTTCAAACATGATGGTGCGTGACTTGGAATTATTAGGTCGCTCATCGGGTTTCTCTTAGAGCTACAAGGCTAGGCAAAACTAGGTACATGATACGTAGTGTTATTAGCGCCCGACGTCAACAGGAGCGTTATATGTGCACCTGATGAAGTCATTGTCGCCACAAATGTCACCAATGTTCGTCAATAAAAACACCGTTTGTTATTAGACATGTTAAAACCAACCATTGATCTTTGTTATCAATCCGTATTACTGTTATGCCAAATAGATGTCAATGCAAATCATACGGAATAGCGGCGAACTGTGGCAGCATGTGGCGTTCAATCTCGGTGGGGTAATGGCAGTGGCGGATCCAGGGGGAGCATCCCCCCCCCCACGCATGACGATTCATATGATCTGGATTACGGATAGCTTCTCTGCGATTTCGCTCCGTATATCTTAAGCGAAGCTTGGATCCCCACCTCAATACATTTTGCTGGATCCGCCACTGGGTAATGGTGGTTGTCTTTCACCGATCACCTAAGTAAAATTATTTTGCTGATATGTCTGCACTGGCCATGCGGTTACCAAAGTACATGGCCATGGCCGGGTAACAGCGGTA